CTTTCCACTTCTCTAATGAAAGGACATATTTCTTTTAGCCTCTTCCTGGGGCCCATGTTTGTCTTTCGATTTTGTTCCAATGACCCATGTAGTTTAATCGCATGAGATTAAGCTCCATTAACTAATTCGATAGGAAGTACAACATAGAGAAATGGAGTTTTCAAAATCACTAATAACTTCTGTAGGATGATACTTCTTTTGTCTCTCTAAAAAAGAGATGATGGTTGTTGGGAATTCAGTTGCTCTCACAAAAGCCTCTGCTGGATAGATCTGAACAGCTAAACATGATTGCAGCTACTACGCTCACCTCTTTTTGGCTAGTGTGGGGAGGAGATGAGACTACTTGTCTTAAGAGCCTCATGATTACTTCCAAAAACAACACGAACAACGTGAAAATTGCAAATACCATTCGATACAGACAAAACAACCATGACTACTTGTTTGATTATATAGTGCCTAATCACAAACGGTACATGGGAGGACAGTGCAGATATCCATTTTGCCTAACTAACTAATCTCTCTCCTTTGCCTATCCATTTTGGAATTAAAAGATATCTGAGAGAGCTGTTGCACAAAGAAAAAAATGATTATGCATATAACACCTCGTTCTCTTTCCTTGTGTGGAGGAGGCAGCACATCTCGTATGTTAGAGAAAGGGTCTTTTGAACCGAACGGAACCTCTGCAATAGGAGCGTCCAACACAGAGTCGGGAATTGCATCAAGTGTCTCCTTAAAGAAAGACTTCATCATCTACAAGGTACAAAGACCGCATCAAAGTTAATCGAATGGTCAGACTTATAAGACACGATATAATTGAAACGAATAGACTAATGTACTAACGGAAAGCTGCATCATGTTAACAAACTATTTATCGATGGAGCTTTCCGCTTCCCGCTTCCACTTCCACAAACCATTTTCAGGCTCCGAATGGAAAAGACCAAGCAAATGCTGCCACATGTTAACAATATGATTATTGAGAAAAGCTTCATATTGGCCAAATAAGAAACAGATGATCACACCCAGCAGCATTCCAACAGCAGAGAAGCAGGAAATCTGCTTCCAAATGTAGGCTGTCGTACCAGTGGGACCGCTTGTACGGTCCGACCGCCCTAGGAACACCATATCAAGGAAATAGAAGCACAGTAAAGGATAGAAGAGATTTATGCACTTATTTTGTTGTCCATCACCTATGGATACGGAATGACAACGAACGGTGCCGGAGCTCTTCTCCTCTATTATCCTCTGGATCCCTGGCGCAATGAGATCGCCCCTCACAAGAGATTTCTCTCTCAATTTTCGTATGTGAGGTGGTTATGAGAGGTTCAGGTTAGAGGGGAGACTTCCAGCGCTGTTTATAAAGTTTTCAGCCGGGTCCTCTCATTATGGGCCAGGCTCAACTTGGCCCACACATAGCCAGGCCAATATCTAATTGATTAAGAATCTTTATATCCAATCTTATTAGATCAAGCCCGTAAACAGTTAATTACAATCTCAATTAATATAGCCCATAGTAGAAAAACTCTTACACCAAATGCTAATGATGGCTTTGCATCAATAAATACTATACGTGAGATTTAACATTTATCATTGACAGATCCTCTCGATGCTTGACTACTCTCGACTAGGTAACACTCACATATGTGACCTATACAATGTCCATAGCTGGAAACGTCAGCTATAAATGGCCTAGACTAATGGATCTTAGAATTTTCCAACAGTGTTCTTGGACGCCTCCAATTCCGGGCTCAAAGTCACGAGCAAACGGTGTTCATCGTGATTTTTCAAATTTCTCTTTGTTGTTGATCAGTTTTAGTGCAAAAGGTTAGGGACTGGATTTGCATTTCATCGAATTTTATGCTTTGGTTTCGTATTCTGGTTGCTCGCCGTCTGAAGTTCTAAACTAGTGTCCGATTTGCTTTGATGCGATTAATTTGCACATTAGTCGCGATGGAATGAAGCTACTAGATTGAGGTTGGATGATGTTCTGAACTGTATTAACTCTGTCTGTCTGTGTGATGCTTTAAGATAATAAGTTGCCCATGTCTGAAGAGTAGTTGTGAGGCCTCTTGTTTGTTGTAAGACTTGGCTTTTGCTCTTATTCATCAGGAAAGAATATGCAGGACAATGAAAAAGAGAGAAACGTGAATGAGGCTAAAGCTAAAATTGGAAACAAACAGCGTTAAAGCTCAAAAACAAGAAGCACCAGATGACAAAAGAAGTCTCTCTCTCTCTCTCTCTCTCTCTCTCTCTCTCTCTCTCTCTCTCTCTCTCTCTCTCCTTCAAACTGGTAGATCATTAGGGATGCTAGACAGTGACGGGTGCGATGACGATGCTTGAATGAGAAGAAAGGCCAAAGTGTGATAAAGAATAGAATGTACATCACTAACAACAGCCAAAGCCCTCTGGTTTTCATGCCTTTAATTTACATTCCACGAGTTTCTCGCCGAGTCCTCCTACTCCATACTGACCTCGGCTCGAGTCCTGCCGCTTCTAACTCCTTTGTAACTATGCTTGCTTGACACTTAGTTGCGTGAAGCAAGATGTTCATTCTTATCGGATGGTAAATAAATTTCAAGGTATTATAGACTCTCTGCCCTCAATAGTCACCTTTTCTGTTATTATATTCTCTGGTTTGCATATCTATTCAATCACTGTTGCCTCACTGTAATACTCATGCTGAATAAAAGATTTCCTTCCAGGATCCGTTGAGAGAGCGAGGATCAAATGGGAAATACGAAAATTCTTGTAGAAGCCAAGAATTTATGGATGAAACTCAATCTCCGAGGGGCAATCCTTACGAGCCTTTCTCTACAAGTCTTTCTCATCTTATTTGCACCCAATCGAAAGAAGTGGTCAAACAGGTGGTTTGCAACTCTCATGTGGTCAGCTTACTTGGTTGCCGACTCAGTCGTTGTCTATGCCTTAGGACTCATTGCCAAAGCACAAATCATTGGTGGTACTTCAGACTCCGAGGTCGATGCATATGGTGACCTTTTGGCTTTTTGGGCTCCATTTCTTCTGCTACACCTCGGAGGACCAGACACCATAACAGCTTTCGCGCTCGAGGATAATGAGCTGTGGGGTAGGCACTTGCTTAATCTCTTATTCCAGCTAGGCACTGCATGCAATGTGTTTTACCAATCCCTCCCAGTAACAAGCTAATTGTCCCAACCATCCTCATGTTTATTGGAGGAACCATAAAATATATAGCGCGAACAGTGCTCTGTATCTTGTAAGCTCCAGTAAATTCCGTGATTCCTTGCTCCCACCTGCTGATCCTGGGGAAGACTATCCCAAGTTCTTGGAAAACTACTTTGCTTTGTTGGAGTAGGCGACGGATTTTATCAGGCATGTATTAGAACTGTCGTTGCCGGAGGACCAACCTCTTTTCCCTCATGTAAGAGCAGAAAGTAAAAAAAATTTGGACGACAGAACAGTGATAGAAACGGCATTTTTTTACTTCACAACCTTCAAAGGCCGCCTTGTGGATCTCATCTTCAGCTTCCAAGAACTTAACAGAAGCAGGGACTTTTTCTTCAGCCGAACCGTGAAGGATGCTTTTCGGGTCATTGAGGCTGAGCTCAACTTCTTTTATGATGTTCTTTATACCAAGGCTGCCGTGGTTCACTGTCCAAAAGGGTACCTTTTCCGAGCTATCTCAATTGGCTCCATTGTTACTGCTTTTGCATGTTTCCATGCCCTGAACAAGCATGGTTTTCACGAATATGATGTACAGATTACATACGCCTTGCTCCTTGGAGCTGTTGGCCTGGAATTTGTAGCTCTTGGTATGCTCATTTGCTCTGACTGGACAATTGCAAGAATAGGGACATCTGAGGAACATAGTAGAAGTTTGTTTCAAGGAAGCATCTTCATCGAGTTCCTCCTCAAATTCAAATTTGAAAGTTCAACATTTGCATTGGATATACTACATGCTAGATGGTCGAAATCCGTCTGCCAATACAATTTGATAGATTCTCAGCTGAGAAAGCGGCCAAAAGGGATTAATTTACTCCTTTGTTACATCCCTCTGGGAGAATTGTTTGATGACTTGACGTCTGGACGAGTAAAATACAGTGAAAAATTAGGTGAACTGATTTTTGAAGAGCTGACACGGAAGGCATCAATTGCAAATGACTATCAAAGCATAAAAGAGATGTGTGCTGCTCGAGGTAAATGGGCTCTGGAGAATACTAAAACAAGGCGAGATTGCAAAGACTTGCTTCCATCCATCCGTGATGTTGATTATAGTGAGAGCCTTTTACTGTGGCACCTTGCCACCGAACTCTGTCACAACACTGACACAGATGAAAGTACAAACCACCACCGGGAAAGCAGTAAGGTCTTGTCAGATTACATGCTTTATCTTATGATCAAACAACCTGGAATGATGTCTGCGGTGGCTGGGATTGTCCAAATAAGGTTCCGAGGCACTTGTGCTGACGCGGACAGGTTCTTTAATAAATTTCATGAGATCAAAACGGAAATAACGAACAGAGATGCCTGCCAAAATCTCCTTGATGTTCGTACAGATACAAACTTTAAGCCTGCTGATGTGAGAGGAGACAAAAGCAAATCAGTGCTTTTCGATGCGTGTATTCTCGCAAAAGAGTTGATGAAATTTGGGGGGACCAAATGGGTGATCGTGAGTGAAGTGTGGGTGGAATTGTTGGTGTATGCTGCGATTCATTGCCGACCATACGTGCATGCTCAACAACTTAGTAAAGGATGAGAACTTGTCACCTTGGTTTGGTTGTTGATGGTACATCTTGGCTTGAGCGAACAGTTCCAAATACGCTTCGCATGATGCAAAGTTGGTGAGTCGGCAAAAGCTGATGCTCCTATGTGCGAAGTTCATGAAGAATCTCATGGTAGGAATCTCACTTTGTTTACGCCTTTGTTTCGTTTCTTCATGTAATGGAAGTGCTTATTGTTTGAATAAAAAAAAATGTTTGTTGGAGCACGTTGCTTTGTTGATGTTCTTCAAAAAAAGCCTTGATTCATGGTACGCGCCTGAAGGAGAATGAAGACAAAAGGCTGCAAGCATTAGCGAAAGGGTTTTCTGAACGGGATGGAACCTCCGCAATAGGTGCGTCCAACACAGAGTCGGGAATTGCATCGAGTGTCTCCTCAAAGAAAGACTTGATCGTCTACATGGTCCAAAGACCGCATTAAAGTTAATCGAATGGTCAGGCTGAAAGACACAAAAGCTTAATATAATCTAAACGAATAGCCTAATGTGCAAATGCACATTGCAATGCTGGAAAGCTGCATCAGCTTTCCGCTTCCACAAACCCTTTCCAGGCTCTGAATGGAAAAGACCAAGGAAAGGCTGCAACATGTTAAAAATAAAATTATCAAAAAAAGCTTCATCTTTGGCCAAACAAGAAACAGATGATCTATCACACCCGGCAACATTCCAACAGCAGAGAAGCAAGAAATCTGCTTCCAAATGCTTATTATGGCTTTGCAGCCGTAAATACTATATGGGAGATGTTAAAGATATCCATTGCAGATCCTCTTAGTGCTGGACTGCTCTCCACCAATGTCAAGCTCAGATAAGTGACCTTTACAATGCCCATAGCTGAAATATCAGCTATAAATGGCCTAGACTAATAGATCATAAATTTTTCCAACAGTCGCATAGTAAAGCAAAGGCTACTAAAATCCTCCCCTAGAACACTACAAAAGAAGAAATAATCTAGTCAAACCATTTCCTCCATCCATACCTTCGCCACATCACGCACAGTTGGTTTCTTTCCATACATTCCAAGAACGGCATCTCCATAAACTTCATACTCTTTAAGGACCTGAGAATTGGATAATTGTGAGGAGGGGAATACTCGAAGCAAACAGGAGGCAGTGACTACGCAGATAATAATTATCCAGCCACATGTACAACCATACCTGACGGCACATGACACCACTGCTTGGAACACCATAAACAGCGCTATCTACATAAGTCAAAGTCTGCCATGGGCCGTTAAAATTTACAATCATTTTCAAATCACTAATCAAATTTTGCAACCATAAAGCCAGCACCGCTCGGCTTAGCTAAAAGATCTAATCAAGTATGATCTATATCGTTGCATTTTATACCGTGAAACAAATTAATAATACCTTTCTTCAATACTATAAACATTCCCTTGGATTATGACACAAACTCAAAACAAAATGGCAGTTTCCGCAGCCTAAGTACCACCAAATCAAGATCTCAATCTATCTAGGAGCTACTCAAGGTTTGTAACGATTTGGTCTTGCAAGGGCGGGGAGTGGTCGCCAAGGCCAGAGTGCCTGGATAAGGAGCAGCTCCTGGCAGGCTTCGAGGATGATATTACATTGCCTGAGTGTGGTGAGGTGAAGTGCCATATATGTGATAGCACTTGTCCTAACTTGTAACAAGGCCTTTTCTAGGCGACGCCCAGGAGAACAAAACTGTGCGGGCTTCGGCCCAAAGCAGACAATATCATTACGAGTGGGTCCTGGGCAACACAGTGGTATCAGAGCCAAGCCCAGCCGAAAGTGTGTGGTTCGGGGACAAACCAAGCGGAAATTGGTGGGCCTATAACAACTCGATCTTGCAGGGGCGAGGAGTGGTCGCCGGGCCAGAGGGCCTGAACAAGGAGTGGCAGCAGGCTTCGAGGATGGCGAAGGGGACAGGAATGAATCGAATCCCACATCGCTTGGGTTTGGTGAGGTGAAGTGCCATAAATGTGGTGGCACTTGTCCTAACTTGTAACGAGGCCTTTTCTGGCAAAGCCCAGAAAAACAAAACTGTGACATCCTGAAAAATAGTCCATTTGGGATTTATAAAATACTGAGTTTTATGAATGTGCTCGTAGTTAGTTCTCGCCCGGAACTGATCATTCCTGGGATGCTAACCATTAAGGAAAGGCTAATCGGGGAGTTAAATTCGTACGACTAAAGAAAATTCGATCGTGGATTGACTTTCGACTATTAAATCGTCGAGGTGATATTTTGAGCCATTGTTAGCTGATCTAAGGATAGTCAGGGGTCAGTTAGCCACTGTCACAGTAGTGGATCGCGGGTGATACCGCTGGACCACGAAATGAATTGACGAACGATCCTGAACCTATACCAAACGATCGTGCCACACGGATCTAGTAATTGATCCTCGCGATTTTATTGACAACCGAAGTCGTGACGGTCTGAATAAATTGCACGTGACTCGATTTAGTGTCAGTCACGGGTCGAATAAGCGAATTTCACCAACAAGCCACCCGTTAGTTTGAGAAACGCTCGAGTTACGTTTAATAGAATTGAATTATTTAATTCAGCCCAAATCGGACACCGGAAAATTTGGAAGTCACAACGGGAAGTTAGGACGACGTTGCGGATGTAACGTGCAATTTTTGGTTGTGTCCGAATCCTTCAGAAAAACTTGATTTTGATGAGAAACGGAGAATCAGACCATTTTACCCTTGAGAATTATCAAAGGACATGTTTTAAAGGGCAAGGGCATTTTGGTAAATTACCAAAAAAATGGTCAAAATTGGATATAAGCCCTTGACCCCCTTTCTCTCTCTCCTCTCTCTCTTCTTTTCCTCCCCTCTCCCCGTGAAATTTTCCCCTTGCCGTGAGCCCCTTCCCCTCCGCCGATCTCTCTCTCTCTCTCTCTCTCCCTTTGCCATCGCCGCCGCGCCATCACCACCGCCGGTCACGCCCGCCGGATCGCCGCCGCGCCACCGCCGAGCTTCACGCCCCCCCCCCCCCCAAGCCGCCGTTCTTTTTCTCTCTCTCTCGGTCCCCCTTTGGCTGTGAGCTCCACCGGACACCGCCCAAGCGCGCCGTCGCCACCCAAGCCGATTGCCGCCACCCGGGAGCCGTACACTATCGCCGCCGTTCCCGATTAAGTGCCACCGCCGTTCTAGCCGTGATAGTCTAGAACGCGGGTAAGTCGCGCTCTAAACCCAATTTAGGACTTCGGGTATCGACGGGCGATTTTTGGGCGAAATCTGGTAAAAGTTAGGTGTGGAATTGCGTGAATAGGGAGTGGAAATTTTATGGCGGGCCTGAGGATTTAACTCGGGCAATATTTATTGGAAATTCGAAAATAACAGTGGCTGTGGTCTACTGTTCATGGGGCCGTGATGGGCCGATCGGGACATGAGTTGGATTTTTAGAACCAAAAATTTATGGTGAGAAAGTCCCGTGAAGGACCGGAATCGATTTGGCGTCGTTTGGTGGGAGAAAAATAATGATTTCTGTGTTTTACGTGCGTTTAAAAATAATTAAATTGTGGTGGTGAAATTAAATGTGTGATGGTATGATTGGTTGAGTTAATTATGTTTGTTAGGTGCACGCTTGGGCCAGATTGTTTTAATTATTAAAATTGGTCGTGCTGAATGCTGAGTGAGCATGGTTTGTGTATAATTGTGGCGTGCACGGGGTCACGTGTGATTGACCAGTTATGTGGCAAGGGATTATTGCACGTGTGAAAGCATGAAAAATAGTATGTGGTACGGCATGTGAAATCATGGAAATTGTGCCGTCCTGAGGCGTGTACGTTTATGGGGGACAATGCCCGGTATTACCGGAAGACTGCCAGCTTGAGGCGTGTACTTTAACGCGGGTTGCGTAGTAGGTGGTAGGTTTTGAGCTTGAGGCGTGTACGTTTACGCGGGCAAGAAACATGGCCTGAGGCGTGTACGTTTACGCGGGCCTGGAAGTGTTGTGGAAAGAGGTCGCAGTGTACCTGAGGCGTGTACATATACGCAGGTCACTGGCGATGAATGTGAATGGGATATGATGAGAACGAGGTCGCAGTGTACCTGAGGCGTGCACGTGTACGCGGGTCACTGGCGAGGAATGTGAATGAGACATGATGAGAACGGAATGAGTGCATGACATGAAAATTTGTACATGCTTGCGATTGTGTTGATGTGCCTACTATGTGATTATGTGGTGTAGGTGAGTGATTGTGTTTTGTGAAATTGTCTGGAGGTATGTGATAGCCTAGGTGGGGTTTAGGGGTGAACTTGCTGAGAAGTGTTCTCATGGTTGTTTCAACCAACATTTCAGAACCCCGACCTGAGCCATGAACCCGCCGCCGCCACCAGAACGTTTTGGAGTACCTGTGCACACCGAGCTAGAAGTCTTAGAGTTTCCGATGGGTGATGGTATGACCTGGATTAAGCACACCTCTACAGTGTTTATAGATGTAGGTTTGCCTCTTTGGGAAGAGCATAAGTACATTGCCTGGTTCTTCCGGGATCAAGCCGGGGATGAGTTCGGGCCTGTTAGGGGTTTTGACGTTCCGTTTGATTTGGTTGGGGATTGGGATCCGACAGCCGTACCCCCAATAGATGAAGAGTTGACTAGTGTGGATACTAATTTAGCTCAGTCGGGTTTGCAATCAGCGGCAGCGGCTCAGGGATCTTCAGAGGCTGAGCATGAACCCGAGCCCAAAGTGTCGCAAGCTGAAGACGATCCAATGGACATCGATTTGGAACCGATCCCCGAGGAAGAACCAGAGGAAGCGGAGGTTGAGGTAGAACCCGAAGTGGAACACGAGGACGAACCTGGCAAGTCTGAAGAGCCGATAGGAGACCCGGAGTATATACTCCCTTTTGAGGAATACATGGATCCCAATTACGTGCCTGAGTATAATTTCTTCGATTTTCTGGCTGAGAAGTATCAGAACGCAGCTCCAGCTGAGTCGGGCGACATCAATCACCCAATTGTGATCGAGGCAGAGCCGGAGTCCTCGGAGGAGCAAACTACTCAGGAGAGTTCGGAGTCAGAAGATGAAGAAATAGACTCAGAATGGACGCCTAGTAAGGGGCGTAGGGGTTAGTACAGGGGTTCTTAGTAAGTTTTTGGAAAGTAACATTTTTGGGATAGAAAGCCAGGTCATCGATCTTTTTGGTATATCGATGGTTTGTAACACGGGGAGCAAGTGTATACGATGGTGGTAAAATGTGGCGGTTGTAAGTTGTGAACATTTTATAAGTTGGTAATGAAAAGAAATATGTGTATTCTCCCTGAATATTCTCCCCAGTTTTAACTGTCCGGGTTATTTGTAGTTTCCGCTGTGAATTTAAACCTCTGATGGTTATGTGAGGTCGGCGATAACCCTAGGATGTCGCATAAATCGACCAGTGGCGGATGTACGCGTACCGATGGGGTTCGGGGCATGACATCCCCGTTTGAATTGGTATCAGAGCAAGGTTAGCTCGATCTAGACTGGTCGAAGTTCAGAGTGATAAGGAGCAGAAACCCTGGGGTAGAATTTAGGGAGACTTAGCGAGTTGTAAGGTGGAATGAGCTACACGTGCCTCCAGATTGTTTGTTGTGATTGATTGAGTGAGAAAATTGTTGTGGTAATTGAATGCAGGTGCGTCAGGACCTGAGGTAAGTGTTCAGATTCTTGTGATTGTGGTCTTGTGATTGGTAGCGAGGAATTGTTTGTTTAGTGAATTCTTGTGTTAATTCACTGCCTAGAACTAGATTGATCTAGTTGGCCTAGAATGCTAATTCCTAAATGGAATTATAGCAGGTAGGAGAGTGGTAGAATTGCGATAATAAGCAGTGAAGGAAGAGGCGTAGGAAGAGTCCCAAGAAGGGGCGCTGGAAGGGGAGCAAAAGGTTGAGGTCGTGCTCGAGCTAGAGCCGTTGAGAACCTCGGAATGGGTGTTAGAGCAGTAGAGAATCCAGGAGTGGATGTTGAAGCTGCAGTGGACCCTAGAGTGGAAATTAGACCTGCTGAGGACCCTAGAATGGAAGTCGTGATGAAGACGTTGGAACGGATTGGAAATCTGTTAGAACAGCAGACTCAGGAAAGAGCTGCTCCGATGACCCAAGCTGCCGAGGCCGCTGAGGCCGCTGCTGCTGTCAATAATAATGAGAATCTGGGGCAGGGGTAAATGAATATGAATAGGCCAATGCATCAACTGGTAGAGCAGTTTATGAAGTTAAAACCGCCTAAGTTTTCTGGGAAAGGTGATCCTGAGGCTACACCTCGATGGGTAGAGGAGCTC